CCAACTCCTCTCTGACTGCCTATTAATTTCTCTCTAACATAACTCTCCATAATAAGAAGAGATAAGTCACTGGGGGAATGACTGGGTAGGACATATCTCCCTCCCCGGCATCTTCCTTCTCTCTCACTTTTGGCTACCATAATATAGCAGCTTTTTCTCTACTATTCCCCTGTGTCCTGTCATCCTGCCTTAAAGCCAGTGGATTATGGATTGAAAATGTGCGCCACGATAAATGTCTTTTTCCTTCAGTTGTGAGTGCTGGGTATTGTGTTCCAGCAATAAGAAAGTGACTAGGACAAGAACTAACACAGTTATTTGTCCATTTACCAAGAGTACTAGTTCCTCATGGCTCCATCTGCATTCTTCTCTGCAATTTTCTTTTTTTTTTTTGATTTTAAAGAGAGTACTAAATGAGAAACAAAGAAGTAGAACAGTAGCAGCAAATCAGTATCTCGAACATAAAGAAATCAAAGCAAGAACATTCAAAGTGATACAGAGTCTCAAGACAAAATAACATGAATTAACAGTGGTTGTTACATTACATATTGCTATCCTCAACTACATTGCTCAAATTACCAGATGTAAGAATGAATGAGTGCTCAAACCATTATAGGTAATTAGAAAATAATTCTTCTATAAAACAGTAGAGATAATACAGAGTTTCACTAGATAAGATAGTAGGAGTTCACCATTGTAATTCCATTGCATGTTGTTACCTTCAAATCTGTTACTCAGACCACCAGACACAAGCATGCACAATCGATCAGAACATAAAAAATGTAAGCATTAACTGTTCATTTCAATAAACCATCAGACATCATCAATACAGTTATTGCAGCTATTCATATATATTTATATTTTGTGTTCCTTTCTTTTTTCTTCTTTCCCTCATCCCAGTCACTCCTTCATTTGAGCAATTTCTTTCCTTTTCCTACCATCCATTGTACGTTTTGAGTTTTACCTAGTCGTTCAGGTTCCTACACCAAGGAGACAATATGATGTTTACCCATCTGGGTCCAATTTATTTCACTTATGAGTATGGTCTCTAGTTGCATCCACTTACCTACAAAAGCCTCAAGATTATCTTTTTTTAATAGCTGAGTAATACTCCATTGTATAGAAATACTACATCTTTTTTATCCATTCCTCAGTGGATGGGCATCTGGGTTGTTTCCAAGATTTAGCTATAAGAAATTGTGCTGCTATAAACATGTGTGCACATATATTGCTGTGGTATGATGTCTTTAATTCTTCTGGGAAAAAACCCAGAAGGAGAATAGCTGGGTTAAGTGGGACTTCCAATCCTAGTTCTTTGAGGAAGCTCCAAATTGATTTCCATGGTGGTTTCACCAATCTACACTTCCACCAGTAGTGGAGTAGGGTTCCTTTCTCCCCACAGCCTCTCCAGCATCTGTTATTATTTAATTGAGTTGATTTCTTTATGATAGCTATTCTTTCTGTGGTGAGATGGAATCTCAGTGTTGTTTTAATTTGCATTTCTTGAATGACCAATGACATTGAACATTTTTTCATATATTTATTCACCATTAATATCTCTTCATTTGAGAAGTGTGTATTCATCTCAGATGCCCATTTTTGGATTGGATCTTTGAATTTGGGAGGCCTAATTTTTTTTAATTCTTTATATGTCCTAGATAGAAGTCCTTTGTCTGAGGGGCAGTTGGCTAAAATTCTTTCCCAATTTGTGGGTTTTCTTTATATTTTATTGGTGATTTCTTTAGATGTGCAAAAACTTTTCAATAAAATGAGAATCCAGTTGTTGATTCTTTGAAGTATTTCACGTACAGTTTGGTTTTTGTTCATGAACTCTCTGCCTGCCCCAATGTCGTCAAGATTTTTACCTGCTTTCTCTTCCAATAAATTTAGTGTTTCTATTTTAATATTTAGATCTTTGATCCATTTTGACTTTAATTTAGTGCATGGTGAAAAACATGGGTCTAGATTTAGTCTTTGGCATGTGGAAAGCCAGTTTTTCCAGCACCATTTATTAAAGAGGCTATCTTCCTTCCATTGAACATATTTGGCCCCTTTTTCAGAGATAACGTGACTGAGTGTGTTTGTAGTTGTATCTGTTATCTTCTAATCTGTTCCATTGATCTTCATGTCTGTTTTTGTGCCAGTACCATGCTGGTTTTATCACAGTAGCTTTGTAATATAATTTTAAGTCAGGAATTGTGATGCCTCCTGCCTTTCTTTTGTTTCCCAATATTGCTTTTGCTATTCTAAGCATCTTCTGGTTCCAGATGAACTTTAGGAGTGTTTTCTCTAGATCTGTGAGGTATACTAATGGTATTTTAATTGGGATTGCATTGAATCTGTACAACAATTTTGAGAGTATGGTCATTTTCACAATGTTGGTTCTTCCTATCCATGAGCAAGGAATATCTTTCCATTTTCTGGTATTCTCTTCAATCTCTGTTTTTCAGAGTACTATAATTTTCACTGTATAGATCTTTTATTTCTTTTGTTAGACTGATTCCTAAGTATTTCATCTTTTTAGATGCTATTGTGAAAGGTGTGGTTTCCCTAATTTCTCTCTCAGTCTGTTAGTTAGTTATGTACAGGAATGATATTGATTTTTGAGTGCAATTCTCTATTCCACATGAACATATTTTGGCCAGTGATCCCCCTCCATGGGGTCTGCTTACAAAAAAAGCCTAACCATTATGGAGGAATACTGGCCCCTTTCCCTCACCTCCATTCAGGACAACTATAAAGGACACCTCAGCTTCAGTACTTACCATGAGACTGACTGAAACAACACTTTGAAGTGTATTGCTGTTCATCTTCCTTCTCTCTGCCAAAATCTTTGATGCCTTTGATGTCTTATAGTTAGTTTCCTGGGACAGCTTTCAATAGCCACCTGACAGAATATTATAAGGGTTAGGAAAGATGATACGTGAAAGGAACTTAACATAATGTTCAGGATATCATGCTTCCCTGGTGGACATTTCATCCCTCCAGTATGATCTTCTCATTTTTTATTGTACTGATGTGCCTTTTACTTTAGCCATTAGATTGTGAGGTCAAGAAATATTTGTTCAATGACTGAAAGAATGATCTGTGCTGTGGGGTGCTTGGGGATGGCATTAATATTGCATCTTACAAAAGAAGACACTAAACTCAGAGAGGGTAAGTGGCTGCTTACATATGTAGTGAGGTGTACCTGAGCTTAAGTCTCTTGAATTCAAGTCCGTGCTCCATCTACCAGCACAGTCACCCCAGGTCACAGCTGGAAAGTGAACAGGGCAAGCCTTAGGGAATATTTCAGAGGTAGCTGGAGCCAGCAGCTTTGGAGTGAAACTGAGAATGTTTTCAGTGTCACCTCGAACTCTCAGTTGTTCTTATCCTTAAACAAATCATTTACTTGCTGTGGTCAGTTTCTCACCACTGCAATCATGGTACTAGTACAGCCAGGCACACCTACTGACATTTGTTTCTTTAAAAATTAAGTTTATATCTCATATATATAGGTCACATCATTATAGGGAATTTTGTACCTTTACATGATATATTTTGATTCTTTTTTTTCCCCATTCCCTCCCCTCTCTTCAGCTCTCTTCCCCTCCTTAATTACAAAGCTTTGTTTCCATTTTATCCTTCTTTTCTCAGAGACCACGAATCCCTTGAAGTTGGGGTTCATGTCTGTTTTGCTGATAGCTCTATCCCAATGGTGAACATCTTGCTTTGGATATACTAAGTGTTCATTAAGTATTTGTGGACAATAGAGAAAGCAGAAAGTGAAGGTATGCATAGGCATTTGTGCTATTTATTAATAGTTTTGCTGCCATGTTTTCCCAAGGTGACTTATTAAGGTAAATCAACTCTAGACTTAATAGTCAATCTCTGTCCTCCCCAGTACCCTTTCATAGGGGTAGAAATCGTCCTAGGTATAAAATAGTGCCTAAACACTCCACCGACTATTCTTCTTGGCACAGCCCTGGATAAACTCAATAATTCTTACTTAGTACTAGAGATTTAAAACAGCTATGTAGGAATGAACTTGTCTTTTTTCTCTTTCCTTTTTTAAGCTAATTGAGATCACCTGTCATGTATGTTGCATACTATCTAAAAAAGAAGCTTCATATACACAATGATTTTAGATAAAAAAGAAAACAGGACAACTACATTATCTCCCGTTGTAAACACAGCATAAGGCTCTGTCCCAATCTTTGGTACTGAAGACATACATTGCCTATGTTTCTTGGCAACTCTTTATCTTATTCCGGGGAAGTTCAGCTGCTGTTAAATGGATCCTGCCTTTCTGAGCCCAGCTGACTCTCAGCTCAGAGATAGACAGGACAGGAGGCAGTGGGAGATGACACAGGACAAACTGTCAGTTGACTGTCATCAGAACTCATGTCCTTAACCACAGCTTCCCTGGTTGCCTTCTTTGTTCTCTTTCCAGCTAATGCCCTTTCTTAATTTTCAGACCCCGAAGCTTATAATTTCTACAGATTTTTAGTCCTTGGTTTGGTATATACCTCTAAACTAGGATGTTGATGACTCTGCACTTAGTTGCCCAGTGGTTTGTTCCTGGCTCACAGAGAATAAGGGTTGAGAGGCTACCACTGTGATGATCCATTCATGAAACACTTCTTCTCTTTTCTAATCAGATCCTCACCTTTTCCTCTTTGGGTTGTGAGCCCTGCTGAGGTTTAGTGCCTTCTATCTCTCTTCTCAGTTCTTTCCAAATATTCCTGGTCACACATTTATTTATGTCCCTCCATGACCTGCCGCCAAATCTTTTTCAACTGTTATGTCAGAGCTGTTAGTCACGTCAGATGTACCAGCCCAACTGAGAAATTCACATTCCTAAAAATGCAGCCCTTGCTGGCTTTGCCCATGACTTTCCCACTGCAAGCCCCCATCCCTCAAACCTCTCTTTGTCCTTTCCAAATTGTTCCTCTAATCCAGTTCTTTACAAATACCTCCACAGGCCCATATTTGATACAGGGCACACTTTACTTCTGATGAATAAATGGGCAGACCAGGTTCCAGCACCAGTGGATGTTGACTCCAGCCTTCCACCATGATATTCTAAAGCCTTATGTGAGAATCATGGCTGGCTCCATATGAGTGATGTTGGAGAGTCTGTGTGCCTCTATTTCCACACACCCTCTGACAACACACAATCAGATTCTGCTCTACGACACAGAAAGATATCAGACACATTACATGGAATAACACTTCTAGGTCATTATAGTAAGAGTAGGTTCCTCAGGAGGACATAGTACAAGAGAGGCCCTGGCATAGGTATTGAGACATATTTTGCTCACTGTCCAATGCAGAGAGCTTCTTGGTAGATTCAAGCCCCACTTCCCTCTTCCAGGTCATCAGCATAGTGGAGGAGAAGTGGCCAATTCTGTCAGACTGCAACACTTCCTGTCTCTGAGTGGTCTGGTGAAAAACCTCAGTGGCAGGTTGGACCTCCCCGATGTGACTCAGTCAGGCTCTGGAACAGAGCCCAGGGCTTCTGCATGAACTTGAGTGACCTACGAAGTGATGTGGCTACCAGGTTCACACAAATGGCCAAACCTGCCATAGCGTCACCTCCAGTCACACTGTGATTTGTGAGCTGACAAATGTTTTTTTAATTTTAGAGAGAAAAAAAATAACAAAATAATAACAATGAAAACAAAAACAAAATAACAAAAAAAAAAATGAAAAGGTAGGATTTCAAAACAAGATGATAGGCGTAAACAATGCAACCATTATATTACATTTTAAAATCTTCAATGAAGTTGCTCAGAATACCAGATGTAAGAATGTAAGATTGATCAGACAATTAAAGACAATAAAAAGTAATAAAAAGTTAGAAATGATACAGAGCTTCACTAAACAAGATGGTAGGATCTTAACAATGGTTGTCATATTACATATTGTTATCTTCAAAGTGGTTACTCAGATAACCAGATATAGGCATGTAAGACTTATCAAATAATTACACATTAACCGTTCCTTTCAATAAATCAATAGAAATTAGTAGTAAAATTATCTTAGCTATCTTATGTGTGTGTATATATATATTTTTCCCTTTCCTTCTTTTTTCTTCTGTTTTCCCCCATCCCAGTTGTTCTTTCTGTTTGAGCAGTTTCTTTCATTTTCACAATATCTATTTTAGCTTTCAAATTTTATTTACTCTTTCAGATTCTTATACTAGGGAGGCAATATGTTGTTTACACATGTGAATGATTTATTTCACTTATGAGTATGATCTCTAGTTGCATCCATTTATCTATAAAAGCCTCTAATTTATCTTTTTTATAGCTGAGTAATACTCCACTGTACAGAAATACCACATTTTTTTTATCCATTCCTCAGCTGATGAACATCTGAGTTGTTTCCAAGATTTAGCTATGAGAAATTGCACTGCTATAAACATGGGTGCACATATATTGCTTTGGTATGATGCTTTTAATTCTTTTGGAAAAATGTCCAGGAGGGGAATAGCTGGTTTGAATGAGACCTCTAATCTTAGTTACTGAGGAATCTCCAGACTGATTTCTACAGTGGCTGCACCAATCTACAGACTCACCAGCATTAGAGAAGTGCTCCTTTTTTCCCACAGCCCCTCCAGCATTTGTTATTGGTTGATTTCTTGATGATAGCCAGTCTTTCTGGGGTGAGATTGAATCTCAGTGTTGTTTTAATTTGCATTTCTTAATGACTAATGATGTTGAACATTTTTTTCATGTATTTATTTGCCATTTGTATTTCTTCATCTGAGAAGTGTGTATTCATCTCAGATGCCCATTCATGGGTTGGGTCTTTGAATCTTGGTGGCCTGAATTTTTAAATTCTTTATATGTTCTGCATAGGAGTCCTTTGTCTGAGGGACAGTTGGCTAAAATTTTTTTCCCAATTCTTGGGTTTTCTTTTTACCCTGTTGGTGATTTCTTTTGATGTACAAAAACTTTTCAATAAAATGAGATGCAGTTGTTGATTCTTGAAAGTATTTCCCATGCAGTTTGGTTTTTGTTCATAAACTCTCTTCCTACCCCTATGTCTTCAAGATTTCTACCTACTTTCTGTTCCAGTAGATTTAATGTTTCTGTTTTAATATTTAGATCTTTAAGACATTTTGACTTGAGTTTTGTGCATGGTGATAGACATCAGTCTAGTTTTAGTCTTTGGCATGTAGAGAGCCACTTTTTCCAGTGCCATTTACTGAAGAGACTATCTTTCTTCCAGTGAACATGTTTGCCCCCTTTGTGTGAGCTGATGAACTTTGGATGAGTGAAAAGGCACCAATGCCCTAATGTCCCTTTCATGAGTGGTCATATAGGCCCAGTGAGCTTTCTGTTTCCTTTACATACCGTTCCAAAATTTAGGCTTTTAACACTTCTTCATGTCCAGATCTGCTCTCAGGAAACTGAGCAGTATCATTATACTTTATGCCTTCCAATTAAATGGAAAGGAAGGCCAGGCATGATGGCACACCCCTGAAATCCCAGCACTTGGGAAGCTGAGGCAGGAGGAGCACTGAAAGTTTGAGGCCAGCCTGGGTTATATAGTGAGCTCAAAGCCAACCTGAATTACATAGTGAGACCCTGTTTTTAAAAAAATTTAAAAAGGAAAGGAAATTAAACTCTCATCAAGCAAAAATGTCATAACTGATTCCAAATATTCAAAACTTATTTATGACTTTGCAAGAACGTAACTGTCATTTCTAATAATAGTTTTTTTTCATAGAAGATATAGTTTACAAGTGATTTGTTTCATAATCTTCGTTTGCTGAAAAGCATTTGCCTTCCCAAGTAAAGGTCTCTAAACTGGGCGTCTGGAATTACAGAAAAGGGGCTTGGTCCTTCAGAGGGGATTAAGGAAGACAATGTCCACTCCCAACACAGGACAAATGGGAGCAGCTCAGCACTGGGGTGTCCCTCTGGAGATCTTTCAACACACCTCCTTGGTGTCTCTGCATCCCATCGTGAGGTGTGCCTCCAGCCACCAAGACAGCGTCCAGTCAAGTAAGTCTGTGATAGCCCCTCAGTGGCAAGTTTCTTGTTCTTACAAAGGCAGTGGATTCAAAAACAAATGTGCAGCTTAGGTACCCTTCTTTACATAGAGCATGTTCCTCACCTCAGCCCTGGGCCAAGCTCAAATTTCAGACTAGACCCAAACTTGCTATCTGCACACCATGATGTATAGCACAGATGAAAGTCTGGCAGCTCAAGCCATCTTCCTAAGGCCTGAGAGTCACAAGGGCTGTAAGACAGAAGTGTCATCTATCCCACAGTTTCAGTGAATCTTCACTCCAAGCCCACTCTGCCTCCAGCTCAGACCTAGTCATCTCCAGTATTTTCTTCATCCTCTCCCTCAGAAACTTCCAGCCCTACATCAAGGCCATTAAGGACATAAACAACCTGCTGTATTCCTGTATGAGGAATATCTTTCACCGTAATGCCATCATCTACAGGCTGACCTCTGATGGCCACTGGGCCCACCATGTTTACCACATCACTCATAAGCACACAGGTTCTAGCTCGTTCTTTGGCCTCCCCTCTTTTATCCAGTTTAGCCCAGATGAACTGGTTGTCACCCCTCAGGCAGAGCCAGGACAGTAGTTCCTCTTCAGGACCTGGGACACACTCATGCTGGATTTCCCTAGTGCAAGGAAGCTGAGATATGAGGGTGCCAGGCAGTGGGCAGGGTATTTGTGGTCTCACATTGAAGGTCTCAGTGGACTCTGCTCTTGAGGGGAGACTTGACTTGCATCAGATCATGCTGAACTCCCACTTCTAACGCGCATGTCGTACTCCTGCTGAGCTCTGTAGGGTGTTTACACTGGAGCAGGAGACATGCACATGACACATCCACTGTGGGTTGTTCATTTTCTCGGCTCTCCCTGGCAACTGCTGTCCTGGGACAGACCAAGCCATCAAGCAGAGGAAGGCTCAGCTCCAGGAGGATGGAGAGCTACAGAAGTTCAGGAGAAAGAGGCACCTGGAATTCCTGGATATCCTTGTTTGCCAAGGTGAGTGTGTGTGGGAGAGGTCTGAGGCTTTGCTCTAAGCACAAATTGAGGGACAAATCCTGTTCACTCACCCGTTTCCTCCCCAAGATGGAAAATGGGAACAGTTTGTCTAACAAATACATACAAGCTCATGTGAACACCTTAAGTGTTTGGTGGCCATGACGTTTCAGCCAACAGCATATCCTGGATTCTTCCGGCTCTGGCTGGGCACCCCAAGCATCAACAGCAGTACAGAGAGGAGGTCCAGAGACTTCTGGGTGATGGATCCTCTATCACCTGGTGAGGGCTCAAGATGTAGGAAAGCCTGGCATCTCTAGTAGAGGGAAGAACCTGCTTTGCTCTGGCCCTTGTGTACTTCAAGATGAACTTAATTTCAAGGACCATCTGAACCATATGCTGGATCCCACCATGTGCATCAAGGAAGCCATGAGGCTGTATCCACCAGTATCTTGTATAAGTCGAGAGCACAGTGAACCTGTCATCTTCCCCAGTGGATATACAATCTTCTCAGACTCACTCACCCAAGCATTCATCACGGGAAGGGAGGATCATGATTTCACATGTTCTTCAGCATTTCTGACTTTTTCTGCATTTCCCATTCTCCATCAGTGAATTGGAGACTTACTTTGAAGTTAGTATGAGATGTATGATATGCTTGATCACAGTTTGAATTTAGTAAAAACTCTTTAACACTAGTCTATGCATGTGGCCAGAAGACTTTTGCCCTATAATTTTATTCTCTGAGATGTGGAAGATAGTGCAAGAATCAGAGAAGAAAAGAGAGAAGTGATCCTTTTACACACAGTCAAGCTGAATGAGGCACATCAGGAAATCTCAGGTCATGGGTCAGATGTAGTCCATTGTCTCAAGATCCCTAAAGGTTGGCAGAAGGAAGAGCTGATAATCACATTTGAGATCAGCACTGTGGTAGAATGTTACCACTCATTTACACTACATCTGTTTTTCAATCCTGAAACTCTTTAGCTTTGGGATGTTAAGATACTCAGTTTTTCTGAGAATTAGAGAGACATCAGTTGAAAAATGAGAATAAGTACTGTGCCCTTGTAGGGTGCTTATGATTACTGGGTAAGTTAATGAATATTTTCCAAAGGCTCTTGGAAGATATTTGAGGATCATGAGTTGTCTCCTCAAATAGTCTAGACAGTAGGCCACTGGTACTGTCTTGGATTTCATCCCTGAGTTGCTGGTTTTCTGTTCTTTTTTTGTGCTCAGATATTTTGCAAAACTTATATCATCTCCCAGGAAGGGAATCATCTTGCTCAAAGTGAAGATTTATGGAACCAAGACTTTTCTGTGTGCATGTCCCTTGCAGGCTGAAGAAGAAGGGCTCCACCTCACTGACAAAATGCCTGTCAATCTCTCTGCCTTGATGATAAGAATCCTAGTGACACTCTCCATTTATCACTTTCACTGCAATCCAACAGTGTGGCTAAATCCAGAGGTAAGAAGACCTGGGGTTGAGAGAAGAAGAGGGAAGGGGATGACCTCTCAGGAACAATACCTTCTCCTGCTCCCCATACCGGGCCCTCTGTCCCCTCCTGGGCTGGAAGCAGGGATTTGACCCATCCTGACCTACCACTCTCCCTTCATGTGTTTGATCCTTCTCGATTTGCCCTGGACTCTGCCCACTGCAGACACCCACTCCTGCCCTTTTCACTAGGACCAAGATGAGGCATCTTTGTTTAGTGATGGGGTGGAGGAGAAGTAGTGTAACTGGCACATCCCCATGTGTGTGATCCTCTCCGTTCCTATGTGACATCTTAAGGCATGTCCTTGGTGTTGGTGTTTCAGGAAGGGGACCGCACAGGTGTGTGTCTGTGTACATGAAGAAAGATGGTATTTCAGGTATACAATGAGGACACTGACCCCGTGTCCTTTCTAACTGCCAACCAAAAATGCTTGTCAGAATTGTTGTTCACTTTGGTGTATTTTCTTGTTTTCTTTACTTTTGGAGCATGAATTTTCAGAATTAGATTTTTCTCATGTAAACCAACCTTCAGATTTGGTTTGGTTTCTCTCCTTTCCTACATTCTCAACTCAGCATCAGTTCTACTTAATTCACCGTTCAGCCGCCGTGATGAATTATTGAAGTCTTTCCATATATTTGGAGTTCTAGTGGCCTTGCTACACCTGCTGTTGAAGCCATATATGTGAATCTTGGCAGGTCATTGTACAGTGCTGGACATTGCTATCTCACACAATTTTTAGCTTCTGATTCACCTAAATTTCATTATCGATGGTCATAGTACGTGTCTGTCTCCTCAGGTGACAAAATTATGTACATAAACTCTACACCATACTCATGGCCCACCTAGTCAAACTGTGGCAAAAACAAGGATGACGATCCTAAAGTGCTTTTAAGAGAAAATCCACTACTTTGTTACACTGCATTGCAGATACTGGTGTGGACAATATCAAACACAATAAATAGCTGCTGCGGTAGACAAGTACTCCACAAGGATTATTGTGAGAATCCACTAGGAATGCAGGATTTAGGCACTGCCCAAAAGATCAGAAATAATTAGCAGAAAGTAAACTTTTCTGTAATAATTCTGTGAATTCTGTAAGGCTGAATTAAGCTTCACAGGACAATGCCTAAACATGTTGTTGTTGTACAAACCAGCTTCCTAGGATAAAGTTTCTTCCTGGACTGGGTCATTCCTCTTACACAATAGTGCCAAGTCGTGACATTGCCATTAAAGGACAGGTGAGGGTGGGGTAGCTTGATTGCTCAGTAGAAATATTTTACTTCCATTTATTCTGCTGCATTTGATCTGATTTTTATATTTTAACTAATTTAATTCAAACATATTTTAAAATATGCTTCTCTGTACTAAGAGAATAGAGCACAGCAATGTGAGATTCTGCCCCTGGTTCAGTGACAAGAACAGAGCGATGTTGTTCAGAATCAGGCACCTTTTTTCAAGACAGATTTTGTTCTTTTCTGCATCCTTTTGCTCTCTCACTCATTCATGAATAGTTTGTGGAGTGTCCCATGTTCCTGGCACTGTCCCAGACCCTGGACAGGGGTGTGTCTTTGAGTCAAGCACTGATGGTGCTACTGGTGAATGGCAGAGGGATGAGGGCCAGGCGGTCATTGCCCTGAGCCATCAGGATGTACAGCAGAGGTGGAGGGAGGACATGCTCAGTGACTTCAGCGATAGGAACCAAGATGAGGGATGGGACAGGCAAGTGTGGGTGCACAGAGCTGAGGAGATTGGACGCTGTATCGTCTGATGGAGGGCATAGGAGGGTCAGTGAGGAGAGAGGAAAAGCAGGGAAACCGGAAGTCTACCTCTGGTACAATGCTAGTGTAACGCAGAGATAAGGAAGAGGCAGCAGATTCACCACTGAGTGGGAAGTAGAAGAGCCCACAGAGAGGAGAGAAGGTGGTTTCCAAGTTCCCTAACATGCTTTTGTCCACAGAGCCCCCTGATGCTGCTCGAAGGCTCTTTTCCCACTCATCTTGTCTTCTCTCTCTGAGAATCTGGGTCCCCGTTTGTTCCTTTAGAGAGTGAGCGCTTAGAGTGTGCCCACCCCACCCCATGTTGCTCTGACAAATGCACAGCACACAGGGTACTGGAATATATTAAGGGCACAGTAAGCAATCCAGCGACTGACTCCAAATTATTGGTATGATTGGATTCTGCCCCTCGCAGCACTGCTGCTGTCTTTAAAGAGATTTAACGCCCGAGCGTTCCTAAAAAGAGTTAGAACTAGCCCTGGAGAAGTGGGGGCCTTGGAAAGGGTCAGGAGAGTGTGATCCACAGCCTGGAGTGGAGGTTTGAGCGAGCTGTAAGCGAAGGGGCTGAGCTGGCCCCACAAAGGAGGGACCTGAATGCTCAGCTCTGGGCTGGGGCTCCGGGGCTAATGCCTATTGAGTCCAGAATGGGTCACGAGGCCATTTTTCATTTCACCGTTTCTTCCTCATCCAGGAGCTGCCTTGGGGAAAAAAATTGCAATGAGTGAGCTGAAGGTGGCTGTGGCCCCGATGCTTCTTTGCTATGAGCTGCTGCCAGATCCCACCAGGGTTCCCATCCCAGTGGAGCTCCTCGTGTTGAAGTACAAAAACGGCATTCATTTGCACCTCAGGAAGCTCCCCTGGTGGAGACAGTGACAGCTCTGCAGGCCTGCTGTCTTCAGCCCTATGTTCCAGTGTCTGGCTCCTGGCTCTCACCTTTCTGCCCACATCTTGCCCTCGTCCTGTTCACCTACCTTTCTCGCCCCCATCAGACCCTGCCTTCTTGTCTCTGGCCATCTGCCCTTCTCCCTTCCTGCTTGCCTTTCAACCTGTCCCCTGCTTGTCTGTGCACCTGAATGTCCCCCTGACTCCCCTGACCGTCCTCCAGCCTGCCTAGCCTTCTGCCTGGCTACTCCAGTTCTGCTGTTTGTGTCTGTGTGACCTTCTTATTGCTGCTATAATAAATTACCACACACTGACTTGCTTTAAAGGCGACTGGAATTCTGGAATGGGTTTCACTGGGACACAAAGAATTCACAGACTTTTCTGATTTATGATAAACTGAGTTAAGATTTTTTAACTTTGTTATGGTATGAAAGATATGATTTTAAGGGGCTGGGGAATATAGCCTAGTCGTACATGCACCTGCCTGGCAAGTGCAAGGCCTGAGTTCAATTCCCAGAACCAAAAAAAAAAAAGAAGAAAGAAAAATGTGATTTCAATATAAATTATACTTTAAATTTGAATTTTATCTTTTCCTAAGTTAGTGATACCCAGTTCAGAAGTCTTGTGATCCTGGTCCAGGAAAGTGAACAGCAATGCTCAGTCAGCTACATCATCAGGAGGGCCAAGAACCAATGCCCAACAGTTGCTAACCAATGCCTGGTTGCTAAGCTGGTGTGTTTGGTGCACAGGTGGATTAAGTTCAGTTCCCTCATTAACTTCTCACCTTCTGATGGGTTTATTGAGGTCTAACCCTGTCAGAGTCTCAGGAGCATCTCTATTGGCAGGGTCATGCCACGTACTTGCTGGGCAGCTAGGATACTCCTTTTTCTTTTAGTTTACTTACAAAAATAAAATGTGTTTCCGGACAGAAAGTAGAACGGCAGTTATAAGGGGCTGGGGTAAAGGATAGATAGTTATTGTTTAATGGAAGAGAGTTTCATTGAGGATGATGAGAACTCTCTTGGGATACAGGGTGATGCTGGTTGTCTAACAGTCCAAATGTACTTAATGTCACTGAATTGTACACTTAGTAATAAAATGATAAATTTTACATTATGCATGTTTTAACACAATAAAGTAATCCTGTTCTTTTATATTATGGAACAAATTACCCTTCTACATTAGAAGCAATTCTTGGGGGTGTATGAAATGTCAGAAATAATTTCATGATATTGATGTTTTCAATATACAGTATATCCATTATTGCTTTATGCATTATTGCTAGTTTTGTCTTCAGATATCTCTGATTCGGTCACCATATGACATCTGTATTGTAAGAGCCTTTGTGATTACACTGTGTCCACCGTGACAGTAGAGGACATACTCATCATTTTCCTAGGGGCTAGAACGTGGAAATTGTAGGGAGCCATTATTTAGCCTCGCATAGGTCCTCTCTAACTGTTAC